TGTAGCCAAGTTCATCAACAAGAATGAAAGAGCAACTATGTCAGCATGTGAAGAATTCACAAACGTTTATGTGAAGAATCTGGTTGAAGGTGTCACGGAGGATATTCTACTTCTACATAGATTGTTTTCACCCAGAAAGAAATGGCTTTCTCTTGTACGTAGTGCTTCACTGTTTTTCCATACATTTCATTTATGCCAGTCACTTGAAATATGTCTTTGCTTATGTGAAAATAGATTGGATGATAAATTTTTTTTTTTTTTCTTAATAACCCCTTTAGGGGTTCTAACCAATGGAAGAGAATTTTTTTTAAAAACAATTAGTAAGTTCTAAACTAACTTTATTGTTGATTTAGTATTATAAAATTGTTAAGAACCCCATTAGAGGTTTTAACTAATGTACATGCTCTGAGTCGCTTCGTCTCTGATCGCAGGAAGTAATCGCATGTTCCTTACCATCGGAGGGGTTGATTGGCATCTCCGTCACTGTTCATCACTGTTGCTCGACGTCGCCACCATCTGAAGATCCCTAACCATGGCCGTCGGTTAAATTCTTCGCATGTCTCTCACATCCTCGCTTAATTTTCAGGTTTTGATAGCTTCGAGTATTTTCTAATCTACTGTTTGAATTCGTATCTCATGGGTTGTAGTTATGTGACCTGTGATTGTACTAATGATTCTTCGTCTCTCTATCCTTGTTGAATCAATTCGTAAACCTACCCATCTTTTTATGTATGACATATTATACTACAGGCAAAGAGAAAAAGAATTGCCGAGTTATCTTGTGGTATCGCACCAGTGGAGGTCCGCGCGAAATCTCAATGGGATTTTGTCCTCGAAGAATGGCATGGCTAGCAAATGATTTTGCGCAGGTTTGGTCTAGTTGAATCAGCTTTCTGTTTTAAATTCTATATATCTACATGGCAATAGAGTGTGGACATTCCTCTGCATAAATGGGCTTGTCCATTTTTATGTTGCTGGAACAGTTTTCATTGGTGCTCAGATTATATTGTTTGTTCTCACCTTTTTCTTTTCGTCTTCTAGGAGCACCTTTGGAAGATGACTGCTGCCGCACAAATTTGCCATCGAGTTGCTTTGACTTCTCAGTTAAGATTTGAGGAACAGATTCAGGACAGAAAGCTGAGAAATATAGCTTCAATCCTATCTAATGCTATCTTGCAATTTTGGAGTTCTGTGGAGGTTCATGGGGAGCTGGAGGAGACAAGCTTGGGAATTGATAAGGTATTTTTCTAACAGACCTCTTTTATGGTTTTTGTTGACAATGGTGATCATTTGGGGTTTTCCTTTTCTTTTAAATCAGAGTTATGCATATATATATATACACTTGGGCTAAAGCATTGACAACACTGATGTCCTGGAACCATATTGTTGATTTTATGATCGGACTTGTAAGCTACCCAATTCTGCGTATTTCCTTCCTATGATTGCTAAGGCAGATCTACTTATTTGCTTGAATTGTTTTCCTAATTTGCCTCCAGGATTCTTTGGCTCTGTTGCTTATTTTACAATTTTTGTAAAATTTAATGGTATCCTGCTAAGTAATACTGTGGTCGTACGCAGGAGCCGTGCCAAGAATCTAGTTGTGAGAATGGCAGAAAATGTTTAGCTGCGGGTGTCCAGGAGTATGCAAGTAGATTTTTGAAGTATAACAACTCTTCTATTCCCTATCATTCAGCTGCACCGTCAACATCCCACAATATGTGTGACCCAGAAATATTGGATAGATCTTTGGTTGATCAGCTTACAGAAGTATGATTTTTTTTAGAAGTTTTTCTTCTGCCTCAGTTGAATACTATTGCTATGAATAGCTCTTCAATATTGCTGATTGACTGTTGCTACTGTGCAGGAAAGCCTCTTTTATTCAGTTCCATCTGGTGCAATGAAGGTGTACCACACGTCCATTGAGACTCATCTCGCACGCTGTGAGTTGTGTGAGATTTTTCTGTGCTAGGAGCATTCATATTGTGACCTTGATTAAATATATTTTTCTGAGAATTTATCTGTTATCCAAAGATATTTAACAGTATTTCTCTGTTCCCAGAAGTCTGGAAATAGCATGCAGGAGGAGGTTTATACATCAGCCTATGATGCTGCTGGAGGTATGTACAATTCTTAGTTGTTTGAGCTGTGCGTGCTGGTTATGTATTTATTGATCTTTTATCTCCATTGTAGATATAGAATATGATGTCACTGCCTTCGATGAGGATGAAGGAGAAACAAGTACCTATTATCTTCCTGGAGCTTTCGAAAGTAGCAAATCATTTAACCTAAGCCACAAAAAACGGAAGAATTTGATGAAGTCTCATTCTGCCCGGTCATATGATCTTGGAGCTGATTTATCATACGTCAACTACACAGGTGGGTCTAACTCATTGAATTTGATGGCAAAAAGGCCTGCCAGTAATAACARTGTTGGCTCAGTTCCGACGAGGCGCRTGCGCACTGCCTCCAGGCAGAGGATTGTGAGTCCTTTTGGCTGTGCTACTGCTGGGAGTTTACCAGTGCCCTCAAAAACAGATGCGTCTAGTGGGGATACTAGCTCTTTTCAGGATGAACAAAGTAGTTTGCATGGTGGATCGGCAGTTCAAAAAGGCACAGAGGTTGATTYAAGTGGTAATTTTGAGAAGCAGTTACTTTATGACATGACTGAAATTTCAGCAAAACCTAAAAAGAAGAAGAAGACTCATCTGGTAGTTTGCAATATCAGCACATCTCTTACTTGCTTTTTGTGGAAAAATAGTTACCATCAGTTTTAGTTTACATTGCATTGTAATTTGCAATTTCATTTGTGGCAGGGATCTGCATATGACCAAATCTGGCATCTTGATTCGTCAGTCCATGCTGAACAGGTGATTTTATTGGTAAAATCTTAAGAATCATTTTGAACAAATGTATAGGGAAAGCACGCCAGAGTTCAGGTGTTGTGTTCTATAATCAGTGTCAAATGAAAATTTTGCTACATGCTGGAGTGGTTTGATGCTTGAGTTCTACTCTTGGGATTGAAATACTCCACAAATTTATTCTTTGTTTCCGCTTTTCATCTTGAAGAGGTGGCTTTTGACAGTTGCATATTTCTTGAAACGAGAACTTTTAAGTTATAATATTTAGGAAATATGTGTACTGTACTGGTAATTGACTTCCCAGAGAGGATTCTAATTCGTTCTTATTTTGGCAGAAGGACCACTGGAAGAAGCGAGCAGAGAATCATTTCAATATGAATGGTATTATTTGCATATTCTTCTTTACTCTCTTGTGCATTGTAGTTCTTCAGCGGTTGGGGGAAGCCTCAGCCTCACTTTTCCTTTATAAATCAATGAAAGTTTGTGAATAGGCTAGGAGTCATTATAGAGGATATTATGCTTTAAACGGCCTTTTTTGCGCACATCTATTAACCAGCAATTATAAAACCAAAGTGATGGTTATTATGGAGTTGTTAAAACCTTTAGTAGAAGGTTGTAATTTGGATTAATTCAACTGTTTCTGGAAACTAACATGAGTTGGTTGCTTTCTGATAGGATTTCGTTCTTGAACCAACCAACCCAAATGGAACCAAGAAGAAAGACATCTGTTCTTAACACCATGCGTCAGTATGTGAAATTCAGCCGCCTTAAGTAGATTGCTCGGAAGGTAATCAAGAAGAAAGAAAGATAGAGATTGGTAGATTGTATTTCATATTTTTTTTGAGGTTTCTGTTCTAGTTTACTTGGACAATGATGCAAGACACATTTGAGGTTTGATCCAGTTTTGCTAAGAGTTTGTCTCAATATCTGGCTTCTATGCAGGAAGCTCAAGTCGCTAAGGAACAGACTCAGGGCTACAAGTTGGACAGATCTCATATCTTTGCTGTAAAGATGTTTGACGATTTTGAGAGGTCGATGAATGTGAGGGAGGAATGGGAAGCTCCTCAAACCCAGCCGTATGTGCCTGGGATATGTGTAGTTTTCATCACATTAGCAACTGTAGTGTTTCTAATTGTCCTGCACTTTGAAAACCTGACTTCTAATTATCCTCCAATGTGTCTGAGCTATCAGTTCTTTTTTATGGATATTATCTGGTTGATTCAGTGAAGTCATGTATTTGTCAACTGCATCAGGGTTAAGATCTGTCGACGGATACCAACTAATAATTGTAATCATAACTCTTGTTGCATGTACATTATTTTATTCAATGCAGCATTTTGAGGTGCATTTATGGTTTGTGTTTTCAGGAAAATTTGCAAAAATGGCTTACTGATGAAAAAGCCCGGGACCAGTTAGTCATTCGCTCTGGCCCTGACACTGAAGTTTTATGGAATGATGCTAAGAAGAAGAAGCCTGAACCAGTTCATAAGTGTACTGTAAGTTGCTTACGTCTTCCTGCCTAGATCCCACAGCTGTCACTTGATTGGTTAGAGCAATGTTATATATAATAGTACCATCATCTGAATTAATAATGTTCTATTCCTATGTAGTATTGGACAGAGAGTTATGTGCAGTGGCCTCCTCTAGGTACATACCTTGTGACACTTCACAAGCAGGGGGCAGCTGTCTGGGGTGGTGCTGATTCCTTTGCCCTTCTCATGCGTTATCAGCATAACATGGTTCCGCTTTTCTTTTAATTGCTATGTAGTGTTTCATTTTTCCTCTCTTGGCCTGAAGTTTGACATTTTATTTGTTGATTCCTTTGAAGGTAAAACTAGTTGATTTCCCACCAGGTGAGAAATACCTTGTAACTTACCATAGCCAAGAACCAAGCAACCCGAGAGATGCAAGTGTGAGTGCATCTTTGTTTCTGTTCTTTTCAACTTTGGTTTGTTGATTAATTTTGTGAAGAGAATTCTGATTTCTATCCAAATTTTAGAAAGTAGAGGTCAAGGTCTTTGATGTGAGAACCGGGAAGATGATGAGATATTTCAAGGGTAGTGCTAGACGAGTTTTCAATTAGAGGACCTGGTGGTGTTGCAGGTGCCTCTTGGCCTGTTTTCAGGTAATTTCTTAGACTGCATTTGGATTTCCTAGAGATATACAGCCAAAATATTTCCTCTGTTATATGTTGTATTGTGATCTGGTATCTCGTTTTGTTAACACTAAGCTTCTAGCACTACTATCTTAACTTGATCCGGCCTCTTTTGATGAGC